GTAAAGACACTTTGCCCATCAAAATTCAAACAGTTTTTTTAAATAAGAAGCAGCAAGATGCATTTATTTTAAAGTAAATAATTTCATACAATACAAAAAATAAAATTATAAATAAGCCAATTAGTTTTAGAATGAGTGTATTTTTTTCTACTTTTAGCTGTTAACATAATTTGCCAACAGAGTAAGATTATTTATGTTTAAAATAGGAAATATCCTTTATCTTATGTCAAGTGAATAATATGCAGGGAAAACCAAGGAGCGAGTGGTGGACTTTTGCAGAAGCAGACCCCCCCACTGCAAAAACCATCTAGAAATTAGTAAAAATGTCTTAAATTAAGTGTATTCAACCATAATTTGAGCAGGTAAATGAGATAGTTTGCTAACAGAATTAGTAATTTTACTCTTAAAATAAGATAATTACATAATATGCACTTGAAATAAGACAATGCAAGTGTGTTTTCTTATTTTAAGTGTAAATTGTCTTGTTCCATTGGCAAAATGTCTTTTACCTCCTCAATTCAAGAACAAATGCAATTATTTTAAGAAAAAAAGACTTATCTAGATTTAGATGTCACCGGTGAGCATCCAGGGACTGGATATTGAGACAGTGGACTCTTATAAGTACCTCAAAGCAGACTTTTCCTGCTGAGGAGACTTTAGGGGTGCAAGGGGCGCTCCTAAAGACCTTTTATGACTCTTGTGGCATCAGCCATCATCTTTGTAGCAGTGGCTTACCTGTAGCTGAGAGAAAGCAGCTAGATCAGCTGATCAGGAAGGCCAGCTCTGTGATTGGATGCCCTCTGGACTGCAGGAGGTGGGAAACCGATGGATCCTAACTAAATGAACATCTCTGTTGGATAATGTCCCCCCCCCCATGCATGAAGCTGGTGCTGAACCGGACAGCTCCTTCATTGACAGACTGCTGCACCTTAAATGCACCAGGGAGCGTTATCACAGATCCTTCCTCCCAGCAGCTGGAAGACTCTAGATCCACCACTGTTCCCATCAACCTCATTTAAGTGACTAATACTGAAACTGCAAAATCGGCATGAATATAACAACTTATTAAAATGCTGCGGTCATTTTGCACATCTCTGATGTTGCTGCCGTTTTACTGTAAAAATGTCCATAGCTGTATACTGGTTATTTATTCTCCAGGTGCACAGTTTTTATGCTATTATTACCCTTTACAGTACAATATTTTATTTTTTTTCTTTAACTCTTCACTGGTACGTTATTCTTATACACTTTTCTGAGGTCCTTATTTGTGTAACCATTGATTTCTATAATCTTTTTGCTACTTTAAACACCAGAATTTCCCCATTTTGGGAAAATAAAGGACTTTTCTATTCTATTCTAATATCTAATCACTTTATTTTGAGGGGAAAATCTTGATTCCATTAGCAGATTACTTTATTTTACAGCTCAAATTAACGGCAAAAGCACATTTTAAAAATATTTTACTTATTTATAGTTGATTGTTTTGTATTGTAAAATAGATTCCAGGCTCCCTTTGTTTGGGCTCATAAGATGTTGAAATCCGAGGCTGAAGCTGCCATTTTGTCTTCTTAGGTGGTGTATTACGTATTTGCCATGGTGGGGATGGAGCTGTTCAAAAACAAAGTGAGGTTCTTTCCAGACTCCAGCCATCCGGAAGCGGCGTACTGTGGAAACCCTTTACTGAACGGCAGCACCTTCGCACAACTCAACTACTGCAAAAACAACTTCAATAACGTCCTGTCCTCCTTCGTCCTGCTGTTGGAGCTCACCGTGGTCAACCAGTGGCATGATATCCTTTCACTCTAACATCTCTCAAGGCTTCGCCGCTGGTCACCAGGAATCCTTACTTAGTTTAGACTTTGAAGATTAACTCCGAGTACACTGGAAAAAATAAAAATCTAGATATTTTTTCTTAAAATAAATGCATTTATTCTTGCATGGGGAGGTAAAAGAGAAATTCTGCCAATGGAACAAGGCAATTTACATTTAAAATAAGAAAAAAAGAATTACATCGTCTTATTTCAAGTGCATATTACCTAATTATCTTATTTTGAGAGTAAAAACACTCATTCCATTGGCAAACTATCTAATTTTTCTGCTCAAATTAAGGGTAAATACATTTAATTTGAGATATTTTTACTTATTTCTAGATGTTTTTTCCAGTGTGTTTGACTCCTTTGATTCCTTAATTTGATCCCACTGCTCAGCAACGGGTTTGCCACCGTCACTCATAAATCAGCCCTGATCTTCTTCGTCCTGTTCCACGTCATGGTTGTGATCGTCATCATCAAGTAAGATCTGTTATCATTTATTTATTTCTATAGCGCCAATTCACA